CCCTTGACATCGGGCACAACCATTAGAGTGAACTTCTCTGTCCTCATAGCGGTAGTGGTCTGTCGGACGGGTAGTCTCGGCACTACATTCCCGCCCCTCAGAAACGTATTCACTTCGTCTACCGGCGCCGCGAACTCCACGTACTCACCGGTACTGGCGATCGGTTTTCCCACTTTGCTATGACTGAACGGATACCAAACCCCTTGCGGTAGGTATGCCTTAATTTTGGTGATGTTTGGTTGGGTTACCGGCGCCACCATAAAGGCCGAGCCCCACATAAACTGGGTCTCGGCTACCGTGCGCTCGTAGGTGTGCTTATCGGCCGGGTATTCAAAAAATAATGGTCTCGACACTGTGTCACCATTTGTTTTAGCATGGTAAAACAGTGTGTACAAGTAGGGTAATAGTGTGTATCGGGTTGATAGTGCGTTTTTAGCTGCTCGTGTGACCATGGTACCAAGAGCTACTGGATCCTGGTCCATTTTCTTCATATTGTGATTCCTTGATAATAGTTTATTTAATAGATTAACCATGTTATATTAGTTTTAAAGAGTTTACAGATATTTATTATACCTTGAAAATGGATAAAAGGCACCCACTTCAAACCACCTTGCGCATAGTTCCTGGCTATGTGTGTTATTTTCAGAGTTACCCTGAAACCCGCAAATATCACCGCCGACTAGCGGTATGCCAAACATATTCTTATCCAACATAGCTAGGTATTTATAATTGTAAACATAACTATTAATTTTAATTAGGTTTTAAAACAAGGTAGTTTAACATTTTTACATCCAATAGTCCACTGGAGTTCCTCGTAAGTAGTATCAGTATCGCCGTCCCAATGCCCGGAGTACTTGCCCTGACCCGGGGACGTGGCCCTGGATATCACAAACGGACGCTTATTTCTAACAGTCTTTAATGCCCTAAACATCGAAAACCACATTTAAAATACCTAGGCTACTTTTCGATAAACATACTCATCAGTAGCGATAGCCATATAAAATCCATACAAGTTGTGGACATCATATTGTAGGCCCGCGTAGTGTTTGGCGGACATACAGAGTGTCATCTCTTGTAGTTTCTGCAGCTGTTTTGGCACATATGGAGGGGTTTCCAGACTATTATTGGCGGGACAGCCGTATATGGAAGCGCTGAGAAAGTTGGAGATCTCGTTCATGTCGTTCCACGAGCCGTCTATCGGCACCTGTTTATGAAAGTCCTGATACTGTTTGGTCCAGTACTTGATGGACCCGGGGTGCGAAAAGTCGGGCCACACTGTTTTGCCCGTGGTCTGCCACGTTTTGCCAATAAATAGGCCGCCGGTGCTATTTTTAATAAAAATGTCCATGCTTACACCATCGTCGTAGGGCGCGTATTGACCTGTATAAAGTATGCTTGTTAAATTTTATTTTGATGATTTACCGTAAAACATTCAATTAAATTTAATAAAAAATAATGAGTGTACAAAAATTTCCATAAGCTTATATACAAACTATAACAAATGTAAATTTTAAACATTAATAACAGATATACAGTTTCTAAACATTTAAATTGTCTGTAAAAATTATCATTGTAAAGTTTTGAAATCACTGTTTACTTAAATGCAGTTTAATACTATTTTAATGTACACTAAAATTATTAATAATTTTAAATGATCTATAATGTATGGTGAATTTCAACGTATAAAACCTCAAGAATACAAAGTATACAAGTACCTGCTTTCTGACCCGGATCAATACCAGGGTCAATTATGGGCACGTAATGCATGCCAATATCGTGCAAATGTCGGACCCAATCGCCAAACCCACCAAACCTTTTCTGGTCGACTGTAAAGTCATCAAACGTGGGCTCCATATACTCCTTGGCGTTCCACTGGACGTCAAATGGGATACCGGCGCTGATAGTCCTTTCAGTGATCACTTTCTGGTTGGCCAGGGTATGGGGTTCCGTACAACACCGGCACTGATGGTAGCCTAACGCCCAAAACGGAGGCAATTCAGGCAGTCCTATGAGGTGTACGTACTGCCGGACCACATCATCCGGTTTGGGCCCCAGGAATACAAACATATCGAGTATACCCCCAATGGGACGGTAGGTGATAGCAGGTTCGGGTTGTAGTAGGATGTCCATGGCGTTGGAGTTCAGTAGGAATACCCCGTTCGAGGTACCGGTGTTCACGTCCTCGATGTTCAGGTGGAAAGGGTGTGACCCATATCGAGGTCCCGGTGAGTGACCAGGTCTGTCGATGTTGAATAAAGTGAGCAGTTCCCATTGAGTGCTCTTGGTGAAGTTTGCTTTGTTTTCACCAAGGCCGTATATTTGCGGGGATGGTAGAGTGGATTTGAGCTGGATAAATTGGTCCGAATATATGAGTTTGGTCAAATCGGTTTGGAAAATAAATTTCTTGGTGGATTTCCGTTGAATTGTTAATAGACCTAGTTTAAAATAACATTTTTGTAAATTATATTAATTAATTTTATTGAGTATAATGCTAAATAATGTTGATAAGAATTTTGAAATTAATAATTTATTTAACTGGAAAGTAATAATTAGTATGTAGTAATAAATTAATACAAGCAAATTTTAATACTGTAATGTATAATTAATCATTTTGTTTAATCATTTTGTGGGTGGCATATTTTGTAAATGGATTACTCACACTCACTCTATTTTTGCTTAAATGTTACTAATTTAATTTAAATTATGGATATTTATAGATAATATATTAATTATCAATAAATTAATTTGTGAAACTTATAAATATTTATTGGTAATTTAATAGTATTGTTAACCAATAATGTCATATAATAATTATAATGGTAGTAGTATACTAGTAATAAATATAATAATTTATAATGAACTTGTTTATATACCTTCTTGGGTGACATCGACAATATAAACCGGATCATAAACGGCGGGAAAGTCCGGTAGATTTATTTGAGGTATGGGTGGTTCGTATCGCTTATTATTAGTGTCTGTGAACCGCAATCTGAGGGACAGGTTGTCGAGTAGTGTTATCTCAAGGAATACGGATTTGATATCATTTGGAAAGCCTGATGGGGTCTGGCGTTCAAGGTTTACGATTAGGTGGGCGTACTCGCGGATTATGCCTTTCACTTTATACCCAGGGTATACAGTGGGCATAAAACATGTCGGTACGTATTTCTTATCTAAAAACGTATTAAAAATATGTATAATTAATAATGAAAATCTATTTAATAATTTATTTATTAATATTATTATAATAATTACAAAATCGAGTTATATAAGAGTTATAAACAATTTTAAAAAGTATAATAATATTGTCTATATTGCCATATAAAATTAAATAGTTTTAAATAAGCACTATACTATTTTTCATCAGTTTAAATTTACAGTCTAGCAATATATTTATATAACATTATATTTATTGGCTATTTATATTTTTATCAATAAACTAAAAATATAAATGTTGTTTACCATTAGCACCGGTGGTCTGACTATTCTCAACAAAACAGCACTTCCTGGCCGTACATTCAGTCTTATTGATTGCCTTTTCTGGCGCACAGTCTATACGCTGGTCGACCGAAATAC